GCTGACCCCTCGGTATAGTGCTGACCCCGCTATTCCTTCTTATGAGATCACAGAAAAAGGTAAACTCTACTTCATTTGCCCCAAAGACCGCCAGGTTAGGAAGGTGAACCTTACTAATGTACTTGATTTTATTGTGAACAACATCATTAAATAGGCCTACACTCAACATCATGTAAAGTGTCGACACACGTGTTTAATGAAAATAAGAGACTACTAAAATTTAGTAACCGTGAGAGTTAAAATACAAAAATTTTACCACACGAACAATAGTAAAATCAGTGGCGTAGCAAAGACGGGTGTCACCCGGTGCGGCACTTAATGGTGTCACCACCCAGAGGCGTAGCGACCCTTACCGGCGCCAGGGGACAAACTTTCAATTTTCGATGTGCACCCACCCCCCTCAAACTTTCGATGTGCACCCCACCCCTCAAACTTTCGATTTGCACCCCCCCCCTTCCACCCTTGTCGGGATTTGTAAAATTTGCTCTTAAAAGACATTTTAACACTCGAATTAATCACTTAATTAAGTGGAATTATCATTTTTCTCTATATATTTTGCTATTTTTTGCATTGGTGTCACCCCCCTAAATGGTGTCACCCGGTGCGGTCCGCACCCCCCCTCGCTACGCCACTGAATAAAATACAATAATTATATAATCAAATATTTAAAATATCAATTAAAAATACATAATAAACTCAATAAAATAAAATATTATACCTTACGAACATAATAAAATATTAAATATATATATATATATATATATATATATATATATATATATATATATATATATATATATATATATATATATATATATATATATATATATATATATCAGAAGTATATAACACAAAAAAACTAACAATAGATATAATTATTAATCAAATCAAATGACGTGGGTAAAAAATGTAAATGGTAAATAAATACATTTTTTTCACCAGCTGAGATGATTGTTTGACACAGAAAATAGTATTAATTAAAAATATTTTTGAAAAATAATGTAATAATCTAATAACCTGAACAAATAGTTAATATTAATTATCTCTTAAATTAATACAACGATAATGTACTTTATACATCACTAGCCGTCCCGGTTAGGCTCTGCACTGGCTTCTGTGAAAAACCTATCTGTAAAGGACAGTAACTTGCATGCTTATTAAGCATCTTATGCCTGGCGCTACCCCGGTCTTGGGAATATATTAAATTTCCAATTAATGTTTATATTCAAATATAGAAAATATATTTAACCCTAAACCTAACTCCAAACCTAGCCCTAATTGGAGCCAACCACAACCACAAACATAAACGAACATAGACACAGACATAAATCTTTTTCTCCATCCCATTTCTAAGTCTAAAAAAAAAACACATACGCACAAACAAATATCAACATAAACACTAAAATAAACATAAACACTAACCGTCATCACAACCTCAACCACAGACATCACAATAAACCCTCTCCCCTTCTTGCACTTCTTCGACTAAAAAAAAACAACCTTATAAACCAAAACATAAACATAAACTAAAACACAAACATAAACGTAAACTCTCACTCTCATAAAAACCTCAGAACATTAATTTAAACACAAACACACAAAAGCAAACATAAATATAAGCATAAAAATAAACATAAACCAACTCTCTAAACCACACTCTTTAAAACCTACATCAACGCCCACACATATTCTTAGGCATATACATATATCTAAACCCATACCTATACCTAACCGATCTCTAAATGGTCTACGATCAATCCCTCAAACACATTTGCTTGAATGCCGATTTCCAGAATGCCGTATTCCCGAATACTACCAATCGGTAACATTGACACAAATAACATTCATGTATTTTTGAACCGAAATACCAAACCAAGTATAATTATAAAGACATTTTAAAATTAAATAACACTTATATAATACCAATCTAAACAGTATTAAACCCATATAAACAGACCTAAACTCTATCATAGCAGGACCATATATGACGTATCTTAACACCAACCTCATTGAATTAATCTATTTCATCAAATATTTTGAAATTATATTTCTAGTCACCCAAAGTGGTTATTAAATAAATAATAACATGTAAACAATGCTGCTTTGTTGAGCTATTAAACAAAAAATAAACCGGGAGTGATCTCCCCTAAACTTTCTCGAATATTCTTTTATGAAACAACAGGGGATGGCAACTCGCGATATAGACATGATTTTTAATCCATTTTAAATACTTAAACTTTTTAAAATAGAGTAAAATCTCGAAGAGAAAAGAATTGCACACCAAGTGAATGCCAAATAAACTGTGCATATTAGTGCGGAATATTATTCGTACTTTATAAATTCACATGTGTTTTTTTTTTTAAGAAATTGAAAATAGCAAAAATTACTACTTCCATCAACGGAAATTACTCAAAATTTGACAGAAGGCAGTGAATTTGATCTTTTACTTACGTGTGAAATGTCATTTATCTATCTGAAATAGTACACAAGTTGTAGGCTTTTGAAAAATTCTAAGTAGAAAAAGTTCCACTTCCGGTTATCAGAAATCGCTGAAAAGTTTATACAGATGTACGTTTCTGATATAATACTTATATATGAAATTTCATCAACCTAGCTGTAACGGTGCTCAAGTTATCGTGTTTACACCCACACATACAAACACACAGACATACGAACAAGATTGCAAAACTATGTTTTTCCAAGACAGAAAAGAGGACCAGAAAACAAAAAGCTCTAGACGTCGAGATTTGCAAAAATTTCGATTTTCTTTTTGCACGATTACAAGACTTTCTCTATACTTCTCTATACTTCAAATATACGAGAAATATACGAGAAAGTAATAAAAGTAAAATCTGTTTTATAACTATTACAGCTTTTTAATGTTATTATAGCCTCAACCCCTTTTCTATTATTCAAAATTAATAAATATATACAAAATAGGAAAATACAAAAGTGTATAAAAAAGAAATTAAATAGCACCGGCTTTAAAGGCAGCACAAACTATTATGGTCGCCGGTTAATGACCAGAGTTTCTTCCAGGCATCTCTTCTGGGGCAAGCCCCCCCCCCCCCCCCCCCCCCGAATTTTTTTTACCGCCCCCCCCCCCCCCCGAACGAAATGAAATTTATATAATTTATATAGAAAATATATACTTTTAACAGTGTCCGCCCCCCCCCCGAAGAAAGTCTACCGCCCCTCCCCCCCCCCACGAAAATTTCAAGTGCCCCCCCCCCCGAGAAAAAAGTCTGGAAGAAACACTGCTAATGACATTTACAAATATTTGAAGACATTAAAATTTAGATAGAAAGTGCCCACAAACACTTCTAGGTTTATAATGCACCAGTGTGGTTTAAAACGAACCCGATCCGCTTAGGCTTTTTGATTTCTATAAAAAAAAACAACGCCCGCCGCAGACATACATTTTAATTTATATTGATATTGATAAGTAACAAACAATTATTTGAAACGGAACAATATATTTTTTCTCTTATTAGCTTAGTTGCTTATAATATAAAATTAATTAGCAGTATTTGGATCGCCTTGTTGGATGTAAAGAATACATTTTATCCTCGATCTTCACCGTCAAAAAATCACGGAAAGTTTGTGTCGAGGCTTGGAGTTACAATTAGTTCTCTTGGACAAAATTATTCGGCCACAAGATGGGCAGCCCCAGTTGGTCTTGCCACGGTTTTCCTGCCTTACTGGACATGAGAGTCATGTCAAGCGGGCTGAAAGTTTTGCACCAAAGCAATTAAAAAATAATAACCAGTACCATTGAGACTATGACGCCACGAAAATTACATCAAACTAATCATTTTACTTTTGCACATTTAAATAAAGGGGGTGGGGTTAGCTCCCCTAAGCTTTCTAATATATTCTTAAATATAATTAGATTGTTATGGTGCAATGTGGCTATAGACAAATAACCGCTCGTGTTTCAAGAAAACACTTAGATGTGAAACGTTCGTATAATGTGATATATGAGAATATGATATAAAAATTATCAATTTCTGAAAGCTTTTTTGAAAACGGAAACAAATTGACTCACATATTACGGTTACCTGAAATCTAAGTATGGGAGGTATTACCAGTATATAAAATATTAACCACCTCACTGAAAAAGTATTATAGAAACCGTAAATATAGTATCGTACATCTTTTTGTTATTTGAGGTCACTCAACAATTATAAATAGTCTAAGCAAAAGATGTTTTACTTATATATGAAGTTTTGTGAACCTGACTTTAACAGTATTCAAGTTATCTTTTTCTTGTTGAAGTAGAGATTAGTACCACTTTTGGTTACCTAAAAACGTTAAACAATCTCTAGAAACTTTTGCATATCAGATAACAGGCTCTTTAGATGTAACATTTTCTCTCAACTTACTGAATGGATACTCGTTATTTGTTTTTAGAACCCAAAGAAGAGTGTGTACCATTTTCGCTTAACGGGAATTGCTTAAAAGTTGACAGAAAACAACAATTTAAATAATATAATATGTATATGAAATTTCTTCAACCTAACTTATAAAATACTCAGGTGATCGTGTTCACATACACAGTATTGTAAAACTCAATTTCTTGACTTAGGGTTACATTACTTTCTGTATAGTTCGGATACAATAAAAAATAAATAAAAACGTAAGCAAAAACATGCTTGAAATGAAAACAATATGCTAGCGTAACATAAAATAACATATTTTTGAAAAATATACCATAAAATAAACTAAAATAAGTACTTTCGATTATAAATAAGATAGTAGCATTGTGCAAAACAAAAAAGAGATCACAAAATATTTGAATTTAAATTTTAGAAAGTTACAAAATCTCTATGATTTGTTTCTTTAATATATATATATATATATATATATATATATATATATATATATATATATATATATATATATATATATATATATTGTCTTTATTTGATTAATTATCAAAAATAGATTCATATAAAAAATATAGCAAACAATTAATATTGAAATGTAAAGCTATCATTTATGAAAATGACTGCAGAGTAGACAATGTAGATTTCACCTGTTTCTGTGATCTCTGATTAATGAGAAAATATGGCAAAGTATAACTCGTATGACGTGAGTCTGCAAATAAGAGCTAGCTGGAGTTCACCCGAAATGCAAACCCCACTTTCTCGTTAGCAGTCGTTGATTCTACCGCATATGGCAATACAAATTTAAAATAATTAAAACTCTTATCTAGCAAATTATAGTACAAGTTATTATAAAAAAAACAAAATTATTCTTTACACAGATTAAAAAGGGTAATGAATTTTACTACCAAGGCCAAAGTTTAGAAACAGCCGAACCTATAAAACTAGCGGCTTTCTGCAGAATACCAGGTTCATCTTGGGTTTTTCGCATTTCTTGATATCTTCTTTCAGCTTCTTCAAATCTTTTTTTGTTTTGTTCTTCTATTTCATGTATTCTGCGGATTCTCTCTACCTCTAGCTTTGCTAACTCTTGCTTCTGTTTACGACAATCTTCCTCTGCTTGTCTCATGCGACGTTTTTCCTCTTCCTCTCTTTCAAGCGCCTTTTGTTTCTCTAGTTGTAGTTGTTTTCTTTCTTCAGCTTCTTTTTCTGCCAGCATTTGTTTAATTTTTTGCATTTCCAACAGCTGTTCCTCAAGCTTTTCCCTTGCTTTTCTATTCTCTTCATCTTTTTGTCGGATACGTTCTTCTTCTAGTTGACGTTTAAGCTCTTCTTCTTTCTTACGAAACTTCTCTGCTTCTTCTTGACGCTTGCGCTCTTCTTCATTACGACGAATACGTTCTTCCTCCTCTTCCTTTTTTTTCTTTAACTCATATTCTTTTTGTTCTCTTTCACGTTTTGCCAGCAATTCCTCCATTACCTTTCGGGCACGATCTTCTTTCTCTTTTTCTATTCGTATTTTCTCAACCTCATCGATTCTTTCTTGTATTGACATCTGCAAACGTTCTGCAACTTTTAAGGCAACGTCTAAAGCTTTTGTTTTCTGGTCCTCCTCTTCGATAGTACCGTAAACGTTGTCTGCTTTGTTTCGCAATTGTTGTAAACTCATCAAAGTTTCATCTATATTCATTGGATTTGTTTTAATTTTTCCCAGCTGTTGAGTAATAATACTGATTGTCTTCATATGATCATCTTTAAGATATGGCCTGTTTAAGGTTTTAATTAGTCGGTCTCTTTCTTTTTTAGCTTTTTCAAAACTTTCACTAGTGTACCTTTTTCCGTCTCTTGTAAGCCCATCAATCATTGTTATTAACTTTTCTATTTGGCCTTGTTTAAGATTTTCATCATCTGACATATTGTTAAATAAAATTGTGCGGGATCCACATTCTTTTATAATATCTTGCAAGTGTTTTTCTTTTTGTTTGGCCACCCACATGTCAAAGGTAAGTTGCCCAGCACGAACATCTCGGAGATTTTCAAAAATGTCACCGCCAGTAAACAGGAGTATTCCGTGATACCGCATAAAATCTTTCCCGAATATTTTTTTAAGAATTTCGATCGCGTTTACGTCATCTGCAGTGAAGCGATTTCCAAACTTAACGATAAATAGTATGGCATGGTAACCTTCAGGATTCAATACCATAGCTTCTGACATTTCTTTGACAGCATTTTTTGTATCCTCTTTATTATTAAGTCTTGTGTCACCAAGTCCTGGAGTGTCAACTACTGTAAGTTCCCTTCCATTAAATGACGAGTAATCTTTTTTAGAATGAAATGTTTCAGAATCAACATCGTTTGAGCTTTTAAATGATTCCCTTTGAAGTAAAAGATTACCCGTCTCGCTTTTTCCGGCTCCTGTTTTGCCAACAAGTAAAATGTCAATTCCCTTAATTATGTCGGAAGCCATTCTCTTTTCTGTATAGAATAGAGAAAAAAATATATATTTATAAACAGCAAAAAAGTGTAGCATATTTTTAATATTACTATTTTGTTTACTGTTTTTGTCACTGTTGCATTACTTAAACAGACACAGTTCTCTGAGCTAAGGAGTCATCCATAAATGACGTCACGCTGTTTTTGACGTCGTCACAAAAAGCCAGACCCCCCTAAAATGACGTCACACCTCAGCCTACTACCCCCCCCCCCCCCAAAAAAAAAATTGCAATTCCAAAATCTTGTGTGAACTCTGTCAAAATAGAGTATTTTAATTAATCAATTCCTATTACAATCTATTAAAACAGTTTTCTATAACAGGAAATAACGTCTAAAAATCGTTTTCTAACATTGCTTACTTATCTATATATCTATCTATCTATATATATAAAGCAATGTATGTGTGTCTGTGTGTCTGTGTGCCTGTGTGTGCGTCTTTTATGAATTACCACACCTCTTATCACATCGCCGTTGAACTTTGGGAAGTTGTTAAGAACATTCCTGGGGAGGTTTTTGCGGGGAAAAAAAATTCAAATTCGCAGGGGTGGCGCCCCGGCAGGGCGCGATTTGTTTTTTCTCTATATACGGTATACACAAAATAAGAGTCGATTGCAGATTCACACTGTTCATCCAATCGCCGTCAAACTTTGGGGAGTTGATTAGAGCGATTCAGGGAAGGGTTCTGTAAAAAAAACATTAATTTCGCAAGGGCGGCGCCACGGGAGGTTGCGATTTTTCTCTATGTACGGTTTATAAAAATAAAACTCAGATGCGGTTCATCCGAGTGCCTTGAAACTTTGGAAAGTAGATGAGAATACTCCCGAGAATATTTCTGTGAAAAAAATGTCGAGAGTCCTGCATATCTAGTAAGGGGTACTACTATATTCAGCGGTAAAACTACAACAGGCTTCTAAAAATAACTTTGTAACGCGAAGGAAATCCTTCTGTCCGATTTCGTCACCTTGCGACAGATGAAACAATAACTTTTTGAGAGCCTACTGTACAGTTTCGTAACTTTGTGAATGATGCAATAAGCATCTATTTGTAGACGATCCAATCAGAAATTGAGATCGAGCATCTAATAATACACCATTAGTAACGATAACATATTGCATCATTCACACTGATGTTTAAAACACGTCAAATACTTTTTTACGTGCTAAAGAAAATAATCCTGTTAATAGGTGGTCACCGAAGTGTGTCCTACCTGATTATTTCGGTGAGTGATTAAAGTACACATAAGGTTTTCACGCGGTAGTGTAGGTAAACCCGTGTCGCGGTATTTATGATCCAAGCGCAGGCATTGTTTACATTTAAATAATTCACTTTTAGAAAACACGGTCACGCGTCTAAGAATATAGGATTGGTAACGTATGGATGAAACCCTTCTTCTATTCCCCCGGCAACGCGCGGGGACGGGTACGCTAGTCTATCTATATAAAAAGCAATACATGTGTGTCTGTTTGTCCTTTATGCATTACTACACCTCTCATCACATCGCCGTGAAACTTTGGGACGTTGTTGAGAATATTCCTGGGGAGGTTTCTGTGAAAAGAAAATTTCAAATTCGCAGGGGTGGCGCCCCGGCAGGGTGCGATTTGTTTTTCTCTATATACGGTATATAAAAATACAGGTCGATTTTGGTTTGACAGCGTTCACCAAATAGCCATGAGACTTTAGAAAGTTGAATAGAATACCCTAGGGAAGGGTTCTGTACAAAAACCATTTTTAATTTCGCAAGGGCGGCGCCAAGGGAGGGTGCGGTTTTTCTCTATATCCGGTATATAAAAATAATAAAAGTGAATTGCAGTGACACCGTTTATCTGATAGGCATGAAACTTTGGGGAGTTTATTATAAAACTCGAAGGAAGGGTTCTGTGAAAATCATTTTTAATTTCGCAAGGGCGGCGCCACGAAAGGGTGCGATTTTTCTCTATAGACGGTATATACAAAAATAAAAGTCGATTTTGGTGTGACACCGTTATCTGGTAGCCATGAGACTTTGGGGGAGTTGGTTGGGACACTCTGGGGCAGGATTTTGTAAAAAAAAAATCATTTTTAATTTCGCAAGGGCGGCGCTACGTGAGGGTGCGTTTTTTCTCTATACAGTATATAAAAATAATAAAAGTGACACCGTTAACACGATCGCCATGAAACTTTGGGAAGATGTTGAGAATATTTCTGGGGAGGTTTCTGTACTAAAAACATTTTCAAATTCGCACGGGTGGCGCCCTGGCAGGGTGCGATTTGTTTTCTCTCTATATATGGTATATAAAAATAAAAGCTATTTCGGTTTCACACCGTTCATGCGTGTACCATGAAACTTTGGGAGATGATCAGATCACTCGATGGTAGGGTTCTGCAAAAAAATATTTTTCAATATTGCAAGGGCGGCGCCCCCGAGGGGAGTGATTTTTTTTCTCTTTACACTGTATATAAAAAATAAAAATCGGATGCGGTTAATCTGAGTGCCATCAAACTTTTAGGGAGTAGATGAGAATACTCCCGAGAATATTTCTGCGAAAAAGAAAACTAAAGTTTCATGTAGGGTACAATTTTCGTCAATAAACGGTTTGGCGCCCAGAGTTTTAGAGCGACGATGTTGGCACTTGGCATCCGTTAATCGAGCGTCCTGCATAAAGAGTAAGGGGTGCTACTATATTCAGCCGTAAAACTACAAAAGGCTTCTAAAAAATGCAACGTGAGGAAATCCTTCTGTACAGTTTCGTCAACTTGGCATCCGTTAATCGAGCGTCCTGCATAAAGAGTAAGGGGTGCTACTATATTCAGCCGTAAAACTACAAAAGGCTTCTAAAAAATGCAACGTGAGGAAATCCTTCTGTACAGTTTCGTCAACTTACGAAAGATGAAAAAATATTTGTTTGAATATGAGGAGCCTACTGTAGAGTTTCGTCACTTTGCGAATGATGCAATAAGCATCTATTTTTAGACGATCCAGTCAGAAATTGAGATCGAGCATCTAATAATAGACCATTTGTAACGCTAGCATATTGCATAAGTTACACTTATGTTTAAAACACGTCAAATAATTATTTTACGTGTTAAAGAAAAAAAAATCCTGTTCATTTGTGTCACTTTAGCGAATGACGAAATCTGCATCAATGTTAACAGTATGCCATTTGGCACTCTGGGTTATCCTATGAGCACGATGGCGCTTGTTATTTTTAAGGAGCCAGGGACTGTACGCTGCGCCTATGCTGTAATGTGATCGGGGGGGGGGCTCCTGAGAGCGCCCCTCTACGTACCTGACACATGGGTGGTAACCGAAGTGTGTTCTACCTCATTATTTCGGTAAGTTATTAATGTACACTCAAGGTTTTCATGCGGTAGTGTAGGTAAACCCGTGTCCCGATATATATGATCCAAGCGCAGGCATTGTTTACATTTAAATAACTCACTTTTAAAAAACAAGGTCACGAGTCTAAGAACACAGGATTGGTAACGCAGGGATGAAACCCTTCTTATATATTTCGTCTTACTTTATTCTATTCCCGCGGCAACGCGCAGGGATGGGTACGCTAGTTTTGAATATTTTCAACAACTTCCCAAAGTTTTACGGCGATGTGATGAAAGGTGTAAAAGACAGACACACACACACACACACACACGACACACCAAGTGCAGCATCAGCATGTGTGGCATTCTTTGTTAGGTCTTGTGCGACCTCTTCCTCACGGCACCCAAATGCGACAGAGGCGTGTACAACCCCCTGTCTGTAGGTGTTTGCCCGCGGCTTAGGAAATCCCACCTCTAGGCCGAGGACACCTCATTTAGTACCGATCCACCCACCTTATATAAAGCAGCACACTCTGCCCGCTGGTTCAATATTACTTCACTTTATTCCTTCATGAATAATCAGTTCGTATAATTAGGTGAATCTCAACAGACCTCCACTGTCACAGGTACACACACGGTATCACTTCTTAACTCACGACCTAATAACACTTGTCTATGCATTCAATCTATTCTCTATCTCTCGGCCTTTCTGCCTCCGATGGTTCCATTTTCTCGCTCTACTTTCTGCGCTCACATCTTCGATCTCCGGTCGTTCCCCCTTTTCCCTCTCCCATACCCAAAAGTATCACTCATTATATATACAAAAAGACACACTTAGCTGTACATCCGGTGTTGTCAACAATGTCAAACTATTCTATTTCGGTACCACCTATTGCATAGTCTCTATTATTATTAATAGAATGCCCATTTGTCTTCAAGTTTATAAGTCAAATTCTATTTTACTAACACCAGCTACGTCACAACAGTTTCATAATAACTATAAATAACTCAGTTCAGTTTAGGACTTTACCTTGTCCTTATTAACAATAACTCTTTTTTACTTTCTCGTATATACGAAGTATAGAGAAAGTATTGTAATCGTGCACAAAAATCACTTGAAATTTTAACAATTTTCACCGTATTACACCTCAGTCCTTCATCACGTCCGAAGTATAGAGGACTTATTTTAATCGGGCAAAAATTATCAATCCAGATTTATCAAAATTAAGAGGTTTTATGCGTAATCCGGTCTGAAAAACTGGGCTTTGCAATTCTGTCAGTATGTCTGTGTGTCTGTCTGTGTGTCTGTGTGTCTGTGTGTGTGCAAACACGATAACTTGACTACCGTTACAGCTAGGTTGATGAAATTTCATATATAAGTATTTTATCAAAATCGTAGATCCGTATCAACTTTTGAGCGATTTCCAATAACCGGAAGTGGTACTTTTCCTACTTTGAATTTTTCAAAAGCCTATAACTAGAGTACTATTTGAGATAGATACCTTAAATTTCAAATGTAAGTAAAAGATCTAATTCTCTACCTTCTGTTAAATTTTGAGTAATTTCCGTTGACTGGAAGTAGTAATTTACGCTACTTCCGATTTCTCAAAAAACTAATGTAAATTTTTAAAGTACTAATAATATTGCGCACTATTATGCACTTTTTACTTTCTCGTATATACGAAGTATAGAGAAAGTCTTGTAATCGTGCAAAAAAAAAAAGATTTTTGCAAATCTCGACGTTTTACACCTCACTGATACGGAAAAACAAAATTTTGCAATCGTGTCCGTATATCTGTGTGTCTGTGTGTGTGTGTGTGTGTGTGTGTGTGTGTGTCCGTGTGTAAACACGATAACTTGAGTACCGTTACAGCTAGGTTGATGAAATTTCATAATATAAGTATTTTATCAAAATCGTAGATCCGTATTAACTTTTGAGCGATTTCCGATAACCGGAAGTGGTACTTTTTTCTACTTTGAATTGTTCAATAGCCTATAACTTAAGTACTATTTCAGATAGATGAATGAAATTTGATATGTGAGTAAAAGATCTAATTTTCTACCTTCTGTCGAATTGTGAGTAATTTCCGTTGACCGGAAGTACTTATTTACCCTATTTCCGATTTCTCAAAAAAACGTATGTAAATTTATAAAGTACTAATAATATAGCGCACTATTATGCACATCTTTATTTAGCGTTCACTTGGTGTGCATTTCTTTTTTTCTACAAGATTTTATTCTATTTCTAAAAATTTGAGTAATTAAAATGGATTAAAAATCATGTCTAGAAGTCTATATCCCGAGTTGCCATCCCCCGTAGTGTTATATTAGAATATTCGAGAAAGTTTAGGGGAGATCACTCCCGGTTTATTTATTTGGCGTTCACTTGGTGTGCAATTCTTTTGTCTACGAGATTTTATTCTATTTTTAAAACTTTAAGTATTTAACATGGATTAAAAATCATGTCTATAGCCCGAGTTACCATCCCCTGTTGTTTTATATAAGAATATTCGAGAAAGTTTAGGGGAGATCACTCCCGGTTTATTTTTAACTACACTATATATATATATATACTTTTAATGTTCGGCAAATACATTTGGTAAATGTTTTGGTTTTTAATTAAAAAATACTATAATCATAAAGCTGTGTTTACTCTATACATTTTTTTTTTCAGAATAATGTTTTTACCATACCTTTGAAGCCAACACATTTATAATCAAAACATGTACTAAAATTAATTAGAATTAATATATTAATTTCGATACCTTTTATAGCATTTGTTCAAATTTACGAAGATACGCCCAATATTTATGACTGAAAAATAACTATTATTCTAAATCAGTTATTCAAGTATTTGATTCTATTTATATAATTTTAGTAATAGCAACATTATGAACATAAAAATAGTGAAATTATTTTTAATGTTACCTTTATAGATTACACTGATGTTGTTGGTTTATGTTGTCCGAACCGCAGTGTTCCCCACAGTTTCAATGGCGAAATAAAACGGCTGTTGATATAATTATATAGTAACATAATCCAGATGTTCTCTAATTGTTTATCAACTTCAAACAATTATTATTTATCTATGAGAAAACATTGATAATTTGTATGTAACAATGTGTTATAATTAACATTTTGATTGTTAATTTTTATTTCCTCAATTCTGCTATAAGCCCTATAAACATTATGTAATCAAATTAACAACAAGCATAATATCAAACTATTTCATCTCAGAAACTTAGAACCTCTGCCCTCAGCGTAATGTTTACGTTGCTCTGGGATACAAAGGAAACATTTCGAGGGGTGGAGAACCGCGTGATATAGGGCAGCTTTAAAAAAAAAACATTGACGGCGCAGCTGTTGTGCGCACAGGTAGTTCTTCGATTCTCAGAGAATATTTATATATATATATATATATATATATATATATATATATATATATATATATATATATATATATAAATATATATATATAGGCCCTACGTTCATTTTTAATTTATTGAAAAAATAATTGATCTTCAGTTATTGATTATATAAAAGCGTGTTATCAAGTGCTATATTTTTATCTTAATATAATCATCGTTTTAACTTCGAACAGTTGCTTTAAATGAAATTGCAAATGTTTTGTGCAATTGCGCGAAATGAAAATAAATTACATAGCATTATTCAATTATTTCTTAAACATTCATAAAACATTGCAAAGTCAAATTGTATGTCTCATCGTCCCTAATCTAATATGTCCAGAAGTGTAACGAGAGAGAAGCGAGGAATGATGACCGCACCTTGTGACACCATTTAGGGGGGGGGGGGATAAACACACCGTGGCAAAAAATTGCAAAATATACAGAAGAAAAATGCTTTTTGACAGTTCCATTTATATTACATTAAAGTTAAATAGCCTTTTAAGTACGAATCGAAAATTATTCTAAGAGAGTGGGGGTGACATTATGACGTAAACATGCTAACTATAAAAAAACAACAACATCGAACTATATTATAAACAGACTAAATATCTTTACTATTAAGTCAGCAGTGATTAAAGCTTATACACGTACATGTACTCGTTTGCGGCATATATTTAAATTATATACCTTTGCAGGCACACACACATACACACGGATATGTATATATATATATATATATATATATATATATATATATATATATATATATATATATATATATATATATATATATATATATATATAAAAAAATATCCTTACCTTGCCTTACCTTACCTAATGTTATCTTACCTTAGCTTACTTAAAGCAATGGTTGATCAATGCATTTCACTCATAAAGAACTGAAAATGTTTAAGACAGAATGTCGAAATTTGTTTCGCCAAGTACAAGGTCGTCTAGCGTTTTTACACCTACGTTTTGTCGGTAGGCATTGGGGAATCCCCATAGCGAATTGATTTATTGAAAAGACCGGCTGGAGTTTTTCAGGAAAATATAAACCAGTCAGGTTTTCTTAATAAGCCAAAACCTTCCGACTTATTAAGAAAACCTGACTGGTTTATATACATTGTTTATTAAGTCGATATATTGTATCTCATGCCTCCGGAAAATGGAAGAAAAAGCAAATAAATCAACAACTAAAGTAAAATAATCATCTTTTATATCTTCTTCTTCTATATATAGTTCTATATATAATAATCAATATAAAAATATAAAGCATGGCTGTGCCTCGCTTTGTCCTTTATAGAGATCTAATCGCATAAACGGATCGGGTTCATTTTTACTACACTGGTGCATTATAACACTCGAAAGGTTTGTGCGCCCTTTCTGGCTAAATTCTATTTTTTTAAACATATAAATAATATTATTAGTTATAACATCCTATGATTTTAAAGGTATTGACACAAATTGTCCTTTTTACTTTCTCGTATATACGAAGTGTAGAGAAAGTCTTGTAATCGTGCAAAAATGAATAAACCGGGTGTGATCTCAGCTAAACTTTCTCGAATACTCTTAAATAAAACAACAGGGGATGGTAACTCGGGATATAAACATGATTTTTAACCATTTTTTAATTAAACTTTAAAAAATAGAATTGTACACCAAATGAACGCAAAACAAAATGTATATGATAGTGCGGAATATTATTAGTAGGCTACTATGTAAATTTACATGCGTTTTTGAAAAATCGGAAATAGCAACAATTTCTACTTAAGGTCAACGGAAATTACTCAAAATTTTAAAGAAGGTAGAAGAAGAAGTTCGTTTACTTACATTTGAAATTTCTTTTATCTATCTGAAATAATACTCAATTTAGAGACATTTGAAAACTTGAAAGTAGAAAAAGTTCCACTTCCGGTTATCGAAAATCGCTCAAAAGTTGACACGATCTATGATTTAGATATAATACTTATATCTGAAATTTCATCAACCTAGTTGTAACGGTACTCAAGTTATTGTATTTACACACACATACACACAAACGCACAGACTGACAGACACACACATACACACACACAAACATACAAATAAGATTGCAAAACTATGTTTTTCCAACTCAGGGAGCCCTAAAACGTCGAGATCAGCAAAAATTTAGATTTTTTTTTTGGCACGATTACAAGACTTTCTCTATACTTCCTATATACGAGAAAGTAAAAAAGGGAAACCCCCTAACATACGTTGTTTTCTTGAAAAGACTGGCTTTGGTATTTCAGGAAAGTGAGCCAGTAATAAATACCTACGGCATAATTGTGCTACAGTGGATCCCGGGTCACTGCCAGATACAAAGAAATGAGATCGCGGACCAGCTGGCAAACATTGGAGGAAAAAAAACCCACCAGAAATATCGCTACATCCAAAAGAAATCAAAAGAACCATAAAAAACAAACAAATACAAATGTGGTCTGACACACACCCTCAATACAAAAAAAGACGATTTATATTTCAATTTGACACGAAAACAACAATACATAATCTTTAGACTCAGAATAGGCCGCAACAGACAAAAACAGCACATGCATAAAAAACTAAAAATTGGGTGTGGCAAATACGGAGCACGTCCTTTAAGAATGTTCAATATATAGCCAAGCGCAATTCAAACACTGGTCCCTACACACCCCACTCAAGGAAAAACTGTATGGAGCACCCGCTCATCTGGAGACCACATTCCAGTTCATACACGAAGTTGGGCTTGTTGTTTAAATCCTCTACCATATACTTAATTAAGAACGAAGAAGAAGAAGAACCAGTACTCGTCTTTGTTCAGTTTCTTCAAGTGTATGACAACATGACACTGTTTCTCAACATAATGTCACATATACCCGAGAATGGAAATAAATAGAAGCAAAATACACCATTAAAATAAACAATTATGCATTTTATAAACTATCTTCTTCTCTACACGAATTGAAAACCATACATTTATTAAATGACCATAATTACCAAGTAATCCTAGCACGAAATAGCCAATAAAGACAAATTACCTATATATTGTTGAACATAAAAAAACAATGCATTCCGCATCGTCATTGTATTACACATAGAGGAAAGTACAGAACGATGACTCAAACATGCCCTTACAATAAACTTACCGAGATTTTACGAACGTTGACACTTAGATGTTTAAATTCTAAATCTCAGGAGATTATTTTGGAGTCGAATCATGTTCAATCATGCCACACTATTCTATGTTTATAAATGTATTTCTATGACATTTTTGGTAGGAGCTTCAAATATTATTATCTGTTATAATCATGCTTAGCTTTTGAGTGCTTGAACTGAAAGCCACAGACTAACCGTTACATAACATAAAGTTACAATAAACAATAAACAGACAGTATCAATTATAACTAAATAATCGCGAATACTGCTATAATAATCTTATAGATTTAAGTAACTGAAGCAACTAATGGGTAGGTTTAACGATTCTTGAAAATTGGGCGTGATGTATGTGAGATGATACTGTGTTACTCATTTCACTTATTCTTTTGTGGCCTCTGGGTAGCAATGGTCTACGACATAACCCCTTCATTTCCGTCAATTACCCCGGGGCTTTTACCCATTTAACACCCCCCCCCTAAGTTATTACACCCATGTGAATTACCCCCCCCCCCCCAATCACACACCCACCTCCTAAGAAAACTTTAACCCAAACCTCAATCACAAACATATAACTAACACTAAACCCAACATCAATAATAACCCAAACTATAAAACTACATCTAACACTAATCCTGGCTCCAATACTAGCTCTAACACTCACCCTATCCCTGATCCTAACTGGGGGTGGTAATTGACAGCGGGGTTATTTATGTACTTTAATATTGGCTTAGTCCAAGGGAACTGTTAGTACACATCATCTCCCCCCTCCCGCCCACCACACATCTTTTTGCCAAACTGCACTCCAGTGCATAAATTATACACATTAAAAAAATATTTTGAACTACCATCTTCATGAACATTAATATTTTTTTTCTTCAAATCAGAATCAAGCAACATTAATCTAGATTTATTGGTAGAGGGGTGGTTTGCAGCGATTTACTAGCAAATAACTCCACAACTATAACATAACACAAATACCAAAAAGTTCCATGATGAATGATCTAAGGTCATATTATCTTAGGACTAATTAAATCGCAATAAAGACTCCCCTACCGACCACACCCACCATACAAAATATCAAATGCAAGCCTTACCTGAATAGAACCGCTAACGTTACTACCACCCCAGGCAAGCTGTAAACATTTACGTATTCAATTGTACCAACCAGTTTTTCAACTGGCAGTCGTTTCATAAAAGCCAATACACGACACGCTTGACACAATCTAATAACTATAAAATCTTTAATGATGACATGGTCTTTGTAAGAATAGAAGCTCTACTGCGTATTTTTATAATTCTTAGTTTCATGTTAATACCTTAAAAAGCTCTGCAATGTTTACATACCTTCAAGTGGTTTATTTTATTATTTTTATAGAACATTTAATTTTAAAATATGAAACGTATTTTTATTTTGAACTATTATATCTTCAGGAATATTTGTATTTTGTTTTCTTGAATTCAACATCAACCAATATATAAATTATATCAGGATTAATTGTAGGGAGGGATGATTTGCAGCGATCGACAAGCAAATAACCAAAAAAATAATACATACTAGATAATCCTAACAGTTCCATGGTGAATGATCACAGGTCAAAGTATCTTAGAACTAAATGCCCAAGTCTAAATATATCAATATATATTTTACGAAGCGTTCGACTAAGGTACATAATGCTAAAAAAATAATAAAAAAAAATGTTTACCACGCTGTGTTATCTCCTCTTACATAATATCAAATTTGTAGAATTATTTAAAGGTAAAATATATCAATAAGAACTGCAAGTTGTAATAATTATTTTGCTCCCGCAAGTTCGAGTAATCTCAAGTAAAATTTAAGAATTTTACTTTCATTTTATAAATATTCCAGGCTCTAGAAAAGAGAAATTACCTTTTCTTAAACAATAAAACCGTGTTCGGCAACGACAGTATTAGTAGTTACACAATTGCCAGCACAATATAATAGAAAGCCTAAACCTAGACACACTAGTAAAAAAAGCGTTTTGATATGGCATTTGATTTTTATTTTTATATAGAATGGTGCTACAGACGTAGAGGATAGATTTGTAGAAAGAGAATTTGATTTATGGAATTTAATGAATGGCACTCGTAAAAAGTGAATTAAAAAATCCATGTCTAAAATAGTTATTACAAAAAAAGTAATATGTTAAATCACCATGAAAACTATTTTTTAAAACAAATACAAGGTCGTTGGTTAAACGAGACAAATACTTGCCAAATAAAGAGCTTGCGGAGGAATGTAAGTATAATGACTACCATAGACACAAATGAAATGGAACAATTGTCTTAGGGTTAATAGAAATTTGTAAGTAATAATCAACGCTATTGCAATTAATACACTTGATTGTATAATACCGATAGAGCTGGGACTACACTAGCAAGAATGCACATCGTGATTATGTTAGCGCTAGAGCAAAAGTTGATTATGTTAGTACTAGAGCAAAAGGTGACTGAGTTAGTACTAGAGCAAAAGATGACTTTGTTAGTACTATAGCAAATGGTGATTATGTTAGTAATAGAGCAAATGGTGACTATGTTAGTACTAGAGCAAATGGTGACTATGCTAGTACTAGAGCAGATGTTTTAGTGACCATTTTGTTCAGATTGTGACCATTTAGTGCAGAAGTCGACTATTTAAGTGCAGATACACACGTTGAGTATTATAATGATGACGAATCTGAGGAGATTAAAGAAACAGTGCTAACTATTTCATGACAAAATCCGATACAGCAATGTTAAAAAGTTAAAAGTATATGTTTTCTATATTATTTCAACCCC